CCTGACAACAAGGACAGACCCTTGTAAAGGGTTCAACTAAAACTGTTGGCAACATGTGAACGCCTCTTTCATTTTTGTTCGTTTATTTGTTTGTTTGTTTGTTGTTTAACACCGCACTCAGAATATTCCAGCTACATGATGGCAGTCTGTAAATAATCGAGTCTGGATCAGACAATCCAGTGATTGGAATACGATTACATGCATCAACCAAGTCAACAAGCCTGACCACCCGATCCCATTAGTTGCCACTTACAACAAGCATAGTCGCCTCTTACGACAAGCATGGGTTGCTGAAGACCTATTCTACCACAGATTTCACTCTTTTATGGGTGGACAATGATCAGAAGAAGCATATTAACAATATTTAGGTATAACATTTGCAGAAGTAAATATATAGAGGTTATCACGCGAGTGTGTTTGGGGATGGTAAATACCCTGCATTAGGAATAAACATTGTATTTAGCGAGCCTTGGCGAGCTACTTACATAGTGTTTATTCCTAATACAGGATATTTACCATCCCCAAACACATAAGCGTGATAACCTCTTTATCATATAATGTCATTCTTTAATTCAGTGCTTCAAAATCTCTTTCCCTCTCTCACAAACATTACCCAAACATTGCGAGTTTTCCTGGAATGCGCGCATTACTATTTATTACATCACAGGGTAAGTGATGTGTCAGTCGGACAGTGACAGTAGCCAATATAGTTCCAACTGAAATCTGTTTCTTATACAGTGGTGAAGCAACATATACGCAAAAAAACAGTTGTTTTTAATTGCCTTTCGCGGCAATCCATCGGTCTGTCCGCTAGAGTAACTGCCCTTTGTCAAAGGGAAGTTACTCTAACCCTAGTCTATGTGACGTCACGGCCACGGTCAGACGTTGTTGACAGTCGGTCTGTTCTGTCATAACGTTAAGAAGTGTAGTCAGATGTACACACAGCGACAAAACGAATAAGGTAACAATTCAAACATATTTCGGCCAAATCCAACTATTTTAATTTGTGGAGAAGGTTTCAAGCCGCAGAGGTCTACAAGCACAGTTATGGCTACTGATCCCGCTTGGCTAGGCCCCGTGCCCTCGCAAAATTGTTTCGAAATTTATATTTCCAAAGTTGCCAAAACTTATAAAATGCCTTAGCTACGTCACAGTTAGACCCTGATTTTCAGTATATTAGACTGTTCTTTTGATAATGATAGCAATGATCCCTGTAGTTTATCCAGATTCCCGATGGTTAATTCTGACTCGATCGCCGAATGACGAGGGCGACGCCATGTTTGTTTATAAACAGTGAAAGTAGTCCTACTTGACCTTTGATATTTGCATCTCTATCCGCATATGACCCCAACGGATATCGTTTTTATCCGTAGGCTTTATCCTGCCGAGAAACCTACCCATTATAAGATAAATGATTATATAAGTAATTTTCATCGTTCTATCACAGATCTAAAATTTCCTATTGTTGTTGGAAGCCAGATGCTTCAACTTGCCTTCATGGTACTTAGGATCTGCTGATATACCTGATTAACTGATAATTACTTTGAGTGTCATTTGAGGCTGAGCCGGGTACACCATTCGTTGACAGCATGAGCAACAAGCCATGCCCTGGGGCTACAATGACACATGATCTGCCAAGTCAGACATTGTGACCAACCAATCTTCATTAGATGGCTCTTCACGAAGCATGGGGTATTGAGGACCAATCTGCCCCCAGAATCCCCACAAGGCCATCTTGAACTAATCAAAAGTCGTCTAAGTCAACAGATAATTGCAACAGTTCACAGTAATATCACTTGCACAGGTCTATGATCTTGCCAGTAAGGGAGTATGACTGGGTCATCAATGCTTAATGCATGGGCAGCTGTGTGGTGACATTGATGAATGGAGGTTTTCCGTGGACCACAGTTAAAAATGTGAAAGATGTTTGTGGAAAATGTATCCATTGGGATAGTTTTAAGGCAAGAGACACAGGGGCCTGCATCAACTGATTAATTTAACCTTTGCTTAACCTTGAGTGAGATCATTTGATGCTGATCGGATTAAGATACCCATATGGAGGACTTTACCACACCTAGTATTGAGCAAGAGAACACACTACCCCATGCTTCATCCTGTCTACTCATCCAACATGCTTCATCCTGTCTACTCATCCCACATGCTTCATCCTGTCTACTCATCCCACATGCTTCATCCTGTCTACTCACCCCATATGCTTCATCCTGCTGACTCATCCCATATGCTTCATCCTGTCTACTTATCCAATTTGCTTCATCCTGTCTACTCATCCCACATGCTTCATGCTGTCTACTCATCCAATATGCTTCATCCTGTCTACTCACCCCACATGCTTCATGCTGTCTACTCCTCCAATATGCTTCATCCTGTCTACTCACCCAACATGCTTCATCCTGTCTACTCATCTAATATGCATCATCCTGTCTACTCATCCAATATGCTTCATCCTGTCTACTCATCTAATATGCTTTATCCTGTCTACTCATTCAATATGCTTTATCCTGTCTACTCATCCCATATGCTTCATCCTGCTGACTCACCCGACATGCTTCATCCTGTCTACTCATCCCACATGCTTCATCCTGTCTACTCATCCAACATGCTTCATCCTGTCTACTCATCCCACATGCTTCATCCTGTCTACTCATCCCACATGCTTCATCCTGTCTACTCACCCCATATGCTTCATCCTGCTGACTCATCCCATATGCTTCATCCTGTCTACTTATCCAATTTGCTTCATCCTGTCTACTCATCCCACATGCTTCATGCTGTCTACTCATCCAATATGCTTCATCCTGTCTACTCACCCCACATGCTTCATGCTGTCTACTCCTCCAATATGCTTCATCCTGTCTACTCACCCAACATGCTTCACCCTGTCTACTCATCCAATATGCTTCATCCTGTCTACTCACTCCATAAGCTTCATCCTGTCTACTCATCCAATATGCTTCATCCTGTCTACTCACTCCATAAGCTTCATCCTGTCTACTCATCCAATATGCTTCATCCTGTCTATTCGTCCAACATGCTTCATCCTGTCTACTCATCCAATATGCTTCATCCTGTCTACTCATCCCACATGCTTCATCCTGTCTACTCATCCACTATGCTTTATCCTGTCTACTCATCCCACATGCTTCATCCTGTCTACTCATCCAGCATGCTTCATCCTGTCTACTCATTCCATATGCTTCATCCGTTCTACTCATCCCACATGCTTCATCCTGTCTACTCATCCCATATGCTTCATCCTGTCTACTCATTCCATATGCTTCATCCGTTCTACTCATCCCACATGCTTCATCCGTTCTACTCATCCCACATGCTTCATCCTGTCTACTCATCCAACATGCTTCATCCGTTCTACTCATCCCACATGCTTCATCCTGTCTACTCATCCCATATGCTTCATCCTGTCTACTCATCCCATATGCTTCATCCTGTCTACTCATTCCATATGCTTCATCCGTTCTACTCATCCCACATGCTTCATCCGTTCTACTCATCCCACATGCTTCATCCTGTCTACTCATCCCACATGCTTCATCCCAACTTGTCACCAGACATAAACAGTATTTTATTCTAAAGTTTTTAAATGGTACTTTTAATGGCCGCAAACCACCACATCACTACACAACACAAGTACAACAAACAGACCAAATTGTACCCAGACCTTTGTGCCAGACAAGGATTTATACATTTGCAATTTCCATCCATTTTCTCTGACATAATGTTGATTTTACAATGCCAGTTGGAGTCTGATTTGCCATTCTGTCTGAGAAATGTCAGATAAAATCTAAGGATACAGCCTAATATTAAAATCTCTCACAAGAAAGTAGATTTAATGAAAAGGAAACAAAAAGGTCTTTGTCTAACATAAACAAGTTTTAACTAGAACAAACAGGCTTTAGACAGAACAAATATACTCTACACAATATAATACTAGGCAGAATGTAATAAAACCTGAGTATGATTACAAGTCATTAAATGGCGCGCTTTACCTCAGAGCCATCTCTTTTGTCCTTATCAGAAAACATTCCATTTCATGCCAAACCATTCTTCGGACTGACCTTGGGGCTACTATCAGGAATGTGTTCTTTGTGGATTTATACAGCGCATCTTATCTAGATACTCCCTACTCCAGACTGCTAAGTCATATGCTTTTTTGAAGTGGATGGTCTTGAGTGTTGATTGGAAGCTGCTGACATCCTTGGATCTCCTAAACCTGGATTAAAGCCCCCACCAAATGTGATTCTGAAACTTCATCTTGGAATTAGGACTACAGAGAAACCTGTCTGTCAGGACCCTGTTAGTGTGGACCTTCTTAGTGTGGACCCTGACAGATGAACCTTATTGCTGTTGACCCTGACAGTGTGGACCTTACTGGTGTGGACCCTGACACTGGACCTTACTGGTGTGGACCCTGACAGATGGACCTTATTGGTGTGGACCCTGACACTGTGGACCTTATTGCTGTTGACCCTGACAGATGGACCTTACTGGTGTGGACCCTGACAGTGTGGACCTTACTGGTGTTGACCCTTATAGTGTGGACCTTATTGCTGTTGACCCTGACAGTGTGGACCTTACTGGTGTGGACCCTGACACTGGACCTTACTGGTGTGGACCCTGACAGATGGACCTTATTGGTGTGGACCCTGACACTGTGGACCTTATTGCTGTTGACCCTGACAGTGTGGACCTTACTGGTGTGGACCCTGACAGATGGACTTTATTGGTGTGGACCCTGACACAGTGGACCTTATTGCTGTTGACCCTGGCAGATGGACCTTATTGCTGTTGACCCTGACAGTGTGGACCCTGACAGTGTGGACCTTATTGGTTTGGACCCTGACACTGTGGACCTTATTGCTGTTGACCCTGATGGTGTGGACCTTAATGGTGTGGACCCTGACACTAGACCTTACTGGTGTGGACCCTAACAGTGTGGACCTTATTGGTGTGGACCCTGACAGATGGACCTTATTGGTGTGGACCCTGACAGATGGACCTTACTGGGGTGGACCCTGACACTGGACCTTACTGGTGTGGACCCTGACAGTGTGGACCTTATTGGTGTGGACCCTGACAGATGGACCTTATTGGTGTGGACCCTGACAGATGGACCTTACTGGTGTGGACCCTGACACTGGACCCTACTGGTGTGGACCCTGACAGTGTGGACCTTATTGGTGTGGACCCTGACAGTTGGACCTTATTGGTGTGGACCCTGACAGCGTGGACCTTATTGGTGTTGACCCTGACAGTGTGAACCTTATTGGTGTGGACCCTGACAGCGTAGACCTTATTGGTATGGACCCTGACACTGTGGACCTTATTGGTGTTGACCCTGACAGTGTGGACCTTATTGGTATGGACCCTGACACTGTAGACCTTATTGGTGTGGACCCTGACACTGTAGACCTTATTGGTGTTGACCCTGACAGTGTGGACCTTAATGGTGTGGACCCTGACAGATGGACCTTATTGGTGTGGACCCTGACAGATGGACCTTACTGGTGTGGACCCTGACACTGGACCTTACTGGTGTGGACCCTGACAGTGTGGACCTTATTGGTGTGGACCCTGACAGATGGACCTTACTGGTGTGGACCCTGACACTGGACCTTACTGGTGTGGACCCTGACAGTGTGGACCTTATTGGTGTGGACCCTGACAGTGTGGACCTTAATGATGTGGACCCTGACACTGGACCTTACTGGTGTGGACCCTGACAGTGTGGACCTTATTGGTGTGGACCCTGACAGATGGACCTTATTGGTGTGGACCCTGACAGATGGACCTTACTGGGGTGGACCCTGACACTGGACCTTATTGGTGTGGACCCTGACAGTATGGACCTTATTGGTGTGGACCCTGACAGATGGACCTTATTGGTGTGGACCCTGACAGCGTGGACCTTATTGGTGTTGACCCTGACAGTGTGAACCTTATTGGTGTGGACCCTGACAGATGGACCTTATTGGTATGGACCCTGACACTGTGGACCTAATTGGTGTTGACCCTGACAGTGTGGACCTTATTGGTATGGACCCTGACACTGTAGACCTTATTGGTGTGGACCCTGACAGTGTGGACCTTATTGGTGTGGACCCTGACACTGTGGACCTTATTAGTGTAGACCCTGTTCCCTGTCAGTCTCGACTTTGTTAGTATGGGTCTTGTTGGGGTAGATCTTGTTCGTGTGGATCCTATTGAGTGTGGAGCCTGTTAGTGCAGAAATTCTGCCATCTAAACAGTTACGATTAGTAAACTCAATTTGACTTATGGAATATCACTAGATACTAGTTTTGCAAATTGATTGGGATGTTATCATCAGTCATTGGTTGTACAGTTTGTTCTAACTGATAAATCATCAAATATTATTGGCTGCTAAATCTCTGTGCATCTTTGGGGAAATTATTTCAATTGAATCATGAAATTTGTTTGCCATTTGTTCCCAAAAGGGAAATACTTGATTGTGTGCATTTGAATCATGAATGCTGTCATGTGTAATGATTTACAGCTAAATTGAATGGTTTTACATTTTGAATCAAACTTGGGGGAGTTGTCATGACGAACGAATACCTTAAAGAGTAGGCTACCACCATGTTACATTAAGAAACCGTCTTGATACTTAGTTCGGAACATATTTTACAATTTACAACATATGAAAAGTCAGCACTTGTTTAGCACCGGTATTCCATTTTCACCGAACAGTGACTCAATCAAATTAACAGTGGCTTGAAAACTTGTGTACACATTATTAGAAAAGCATATTTTACCATTCATGTCCACAATCATATACATTCATAAAGTTGCTTCATGATACAAGTATCACATTATTACAAACATTGAGATGAACCAATACTTGCTGGGCCCCAGTGTAGCAGCAGACAATGTGGATAAACAGTTGATATTTCAGCGAGACATTTAATCCTGAGTTCCCACTATCAGCAGCCAAATGGGAACAATTCTTCATTATCCTCAATAACATCTTCTGTTGGCAAAACATATTTTTTATGCTGAAACAACTATCCTACATGTCCATCCATAATGAAACGAACTTCATGTAGCACTGTAAAATTTGCCAACTGTGGAGTTAAAGAGACATAATTAATCTCAGCCTGACAAAATGAAAACACAAAAGCATCATTCAGAATGGCAAGAGTCACTACAGAAAGCAAAGAAATCGGTCTTACTGTCTTCAAATTGGAAAACCCTTTGAACGTCTTTTGTTTGTTATTTCCAGAATCTTCTCTTTATGCAACAAAAACCATCTGATCACGTCTCCTCCATAGATCGAATGCTTCCTATTACACGATAAACAAATACCATTACCCCAGCAAGCATAGCACATACATAATGCACTTTTTTAAGCATAAAAAAGGCATTACGAGTGGTTTGGGCTTTGCGGGCAGCCCAATCAGGCATTAAGGAGATATGATACTCTAATCAATATTAGAAAATGGAGATTTATGTAACAGGAGGGGGAAAGTGTTCCTAATCTCTAACAATGAATATTTTATGGTTGGCTCAAGCCCTATCAACATGGCAACAGGCTTTATACCAATGTGATCACATCTGTAACTCCGCGTTTCCGAGCCCTAAATCTTTGACAAGAATCATAAAAACTTTCAAGACAAGACACATGGAACATTCAATGGAAAATATAACACAAACCTGAATATCGCTCGTGGAGGCAGAAAAAGCTTTCATTTGGCTGTTGATTGAAATGGGGAAGACATTGTAATTATCTTTGGAAACATGTAAGCCTGGCATGGAGATATCATACTTACCCCCGCATAAACAGCAGCAGCAATTGTATGATACAAGTTGGCAGAAAGTCGGATGAGCGTTTCGTTATAAAAACTACTAGTTGAGAAAATCAATACCACAGAGGTACCCAAGCAACAACAATGTATACCGAGATACTCACGAGAGTTGCCGACCCTAGTATCATCAGACGAAACTACTCTGGCAGCAGCCACGGCGATATTTGTCCTGGTCGTTAGTCTGCACCAGAGCGTCAATACATCCGGCCAGAGTGTCCACGATCACGACAAAGGCTTCAAGCCAAAGCTCACATGACACATATCCCAAGCAATCAAAATCACCTCAGCGATCAGACTTAACTCAGAATACGAAATTCATAAAACCTACGGCTGAATCGAGACTATTTTTGTGCTCAAGCATGATCAAACCGCATGAAAGATCGTATCTTCCTTTATAGCACACTTGGACGGAAATTAATGTGACTCCACTCCGTGTTTGCTCCAAACATCTGATATGGCTCCAGACTTGGGAACAAGACTTAACGAAATAAATCAGTGTTACAGAAAATTGCACTGCTGAATAATTGATGTGAATCAAACATGCGGAATAACACATGTCTTGTAATAAACCTCTTCTCAGGTGCGACATAATGAAAGCTCCCCGTTCAGTCATTAATTTCTCATTAGACTTCAAGCATCTGTGTTGGTTGGATACGTAAGTGTAACTACCATTTAGATTTCAGACCACAATACACTGTTACAATACAGTCGAATGAGCCGATTGATCAAGCGTTATAGACTAACCTGAAATCAGTACAAATCACACTTCGAAAGTCACAAGATAAGCAAGATAACCAATTGTTCACCTCAATTTTAAGGTTAGTTTTCCTTCCATCTTACTCATAAAAGACAAAGGTTTGGGTTATTTTATGTCAATAACTACACCATGTTTGATACGTTTTAAACCAAGACCACATACCGTTTGATCACCCATCCAAGTAATACCCATATGCAGAAGCCATTGCCAGTACCACCATTTGTCAGCTTTTGCAAGGTACTAAGGTCCTCGCCAGCCGCCAAATCCACAGGGTTTATGTTTCTGATGTAGGAACTGCTCTGTTTGACACAGTAAGAATCACTCCATCACTGTGATAAGATTACTCCCAGTGTTCACAGAAGTTCACCTCTCTCTGCCTCCGGCACTGGTGCAGAGTTCCAGTTTCCATGCATATCATTTCTAGGGCAAGTTTAACCTTAGAAGTGTAAGGTATGCCTGTGATAGAAGTATGTCTGATCATCCAAATTTTGACTATTTTTTATCTGCATACTGCTTGGTCAGAACTCAGGCATTTCATCTATGCATTGCAGCCCATCATCGGTTACCATCAAAGGGCATCACAAATCTCTCAGCCACTGAAGCAGATTAGCTGTACTTTTTTCACTCAGGACACTTGTTATTACAAACAGAAAAAGTTGGAGACTTATTGTATATGACAATTAGACGTGTTGATATATCGGACATCAAAAGACACTTGGATGAAATTCTCTTTTCTCATCATACAGATGTTTAGATGTGCCCTTTGAAATTGAAGGGTGCTCTCAAGAAGACTACATTTGACCAATCTACACACACACACACACACACACACACACACACACACACACACACACACACACACACACACACACACACACACACACACACACACAAAAGGCGAGTAACGGGATCAGGTGGTCAGGCTCACTCACTTGGTTGATGCATGTCATCGATCCCAATTGCGCGGATCGATGCTCATGATATTAATCACTGGATTGTCTGGTCCAGACTCGATTATTTACAGACTGCCGTCATAAAGCTGGAATATTGCTGAGTGCGGTGTTAAACAACAAACCAACCAACCAAACAAGTTAATAAGCAATTTGCCCCTTTTCCTGTCATTTAGTTTCACAGTACTCATTTCAATTCCTGAATCCTCGTATAAATAAATCTAATTGTTCATTAGACATAGACATATCTTCATCATTTCCCTTCTGTTGGTCTAGTTTAATGGAGCAAAAGTACATTTATTACCTACGAGGGCAAATATATCGGGATCCATAACAATCATATGTGCCCTAGGGTTAAATCACGTCACGAGACGTGACGTGTATTGTTTCCGTCATCCGGACGGCATTGTTGATGTCATTCAAATCTTATTGTGACGTGAGGTCAGAATGATGTCACACCAGAAACAACGTCATAGTTGACATCATTCAACAGATTGTGGTTCCGCTGCTGTTGCATCTTGCTGTCCTTATAGGTAAACACTAAAGTTTGTCTCTGAATGTAGACATCTTCTTAAATAACCGAGTCTAGCACCAAGTCGAGCACCGAGTCTAGCACTGAGTCAACCACCTAGTCTAGCACAGAGTCTAGCACAGAGTCTAGCACAGAGTCAACAATTGAGTCTAGCACCGAGTCTAGCACTGAGTCAACCACCGAGTCTAGCATAGACTCTAGCACCAAGTCTAGCACCAAGCCTAGCACGGAGTCTAGCACCAAGTCAAGCACTGAGTCAAGCACCAAGTATAGCACCGAGTCTAGCACTGAGTCTAGCACTGGGGACCTCTTTTGCTCCTGAATCCAGAGAAAGAGAGTGAGGGAGTTAATAACTGCTTATACAGTGTTATATCAATTCAGGGGAGCAATATCTACCTAGCAATAAACTGTACCTATAAGCAGGAGGTCAGCCTGTAGACAAATATAAACCCTTTCCCCAAAGGGTCTAAGCTGGAAAATGTAAGCGAGTCTGGAAACAATTTTTCAACAACTACAAGTATAGCAAGTAATTGGACATGCCCTGTTTGTCCCAGCATCAGGTTGTGTTGTAATCACTGACAGCATCTCAACGAGAGGAGAAAGTAGAAGGTAGGACGCACAGGTCGTCAGTGTCCAGTCTGGGCAAGATTGCCTGATTAGAGCTCTCAGTGATGTCTCTTGTTTAATTAGGGTAACCACCTGTTGTCTCATGGAACTAGATTGTCAACCTGAGTTTGTGTTCAATAGAGAACCAGAGTTGATTATGCAGGCCCATCAGAGAAGATCCCATCTGGATTAGAGGTTTCAATGCTTCTACACAGTAATTGGATTGGTCGATGGAAATACTGAGATGCACTGTTGTCTCTGTAATATATAATGTTCAATTGAATACCAATCTACACTTGTGAAGACACATGGCTATCTAATTTGCCAGTCAGTGTCTTCTAAAAACCCATATATGTCCGCTGGTCGTCAGTTGGACATCTTGACGTCATGATGATGAGACATTTACACGCCCATTGTTGGCACTTTGAGTATCCATACTGAGAATTCACTGTGGGGCTACAATGCAGGTCAAATTACTTGAAATCTTGTAATTATTAATCTGTTACATTTGTCAAAAGCAGGGTGGAAGGGATCATACGATCTCATCGTTCTTGCATACCCAGAGATCGAAGACTGCTCAGCTCGTAAAAGTCTGTACTTCCTACCATTGAAACAAATAAGTACTTTTCCCCCATATACACACAAGAAGTTAATGGAGTCTGGCTTGCAGGAAATAACACAAACAAATGAGACAACTCTGCAATAACAACTCGGATGATTTACTAATCTAAGCGGACTACTGAACTACAGATAGAGCAATTAGTAGCATCTCTCCAAGAATAACGACAGATACATAGCTGTAATCAATCAGTCGGCGGGAGTAAATGGCCGATCTGACCCAACTATCAGTGTTTGCTGTTAGGGGAGACACAGAGGGGAAGTGAATGAATGGTCAGCAACATGATACCATATCACAGAGGCTGCTTGAAGACACTCAAGGACGAGAATACATGCCATTCGACAAATTATGATGAAACAGAGGCAGATCCAGGATGTCGAAAAAAGGGGGCTGCACATAATACCCAAATCATGAAGGTTGACATGTAAGCTGTTTGAAAATTGGGGTGCACAGAAAAGCCAAATCGCAAAGGCTGACATGTAAGGTCTTTGAAAAGTGGATGCACACAATACCCAAATTATGAAGGTTGACATGTAAGGTGTCTGAAGCAGGGGGGTCCACAGAATACCCAAATTATTTTGGTTGACATATAAGGTGTCAGAAAAAGGGGGATCCACAGAATACCCAAATTATTTTAGTTGACATATAAGGTGTCAGAAAAAGGGGGGTCGTATGACAGTTGACATGTGTCTGGAGAAGGAGGGGTGCACAAACTAGTGTCAATGGCTCGCAACTCTAACTACAACATTGCCGGCAAACCAGTGACTGAATTCATGAACATCGAAGAAGGCTGTTGGTAGCAACAACATACAGTCAGATTGCTTGTAACCATCTAAACCTCTAAGGACCCTTTTGCCCGGATCCTCACAGGAACAATGATGGAAATATAGACTATTTATACTCAGCAGCACAAATCCAACTGTCATTTCTTCTTTATTGTAGGGTTTTCCTCAGCCTAACAAAATCTATAAACAATGCTTTTTATGAAGAAACTCTGCATTGGGGTTGCAAAGGAAATTATTCAGTCTAGATCAAATATTTTTCTGTCAAAGGGAAAAATTTTGGTTTGAGAAATATTTGGCTTGACAAAAAGTGAGAGCTAGGGCTACACTGCCATTGACCTGACCATGAGTCTCCTGTAACAAATACAGAGAAGGGGGATCTGATCATTCTTATCAGAAACCTAGTAAAACTCGCCCTCAGTTGTCGGAGTCTGTGCTGCTTAACAGCCAGAAAGCACTCCTAAATCTTGCATGACCTTTTCATTCAACAACACATTTCACATAGATCTAAATTTTTAACCTCAAAATTGTTAATGGACAAGAGATTGTGAAATTCTTCTACAATGACCGTGGAAAGGGAAAATCAGTCCTCCATCTTCATTAATGATCATCCAAGAGTTGCAATCTCTGTTTGCTATTGACAAAACAATTACTGCTAAATCTTAGTCTCTATTGGGTGAGAACGACCAAAAATATGGCCTCCGGGCAAAAGAGAAAAACAGCATGGAAGCACAATGCCTGGTCAGCACTGCTAGAAAAACTGTGAGTAAGCAATTATTTCTGGAGAAATTTCGACAAATTGATCATTGTGATGGAAAGGGGGTCAGAAAAAGCGAAGAATGTAATCAAGAAAAAAAATGGCTGGAGATAGAAGCCTTGTGATTTATTGAGTTGGAGAGGTGTCTATTTAATCATCAAATCGATAAGTAATATTTCAATGCAACCCACTGGATATTTCGGCTGGAAGCAAATGCTTTATGTTACCTCGTCTTCATGGCATAATAATGGATATACACCACTGCTTGATTCTCTAGGCGCCAGGATCAGTCTTACAAAACTTAAGGGGTTTGCATGCTGAAGGCTTGCTTGGAACTTTTTTGTCCAATGAAACTGTGAAATACATACAAAAATTCAGTGAAGGAGATTATGTTCAAATAAACATCAATGCTTCTTTATTTCACAGAGGACCATCCTTCCATAAGGGATGTGCTCCAATGTGGTGAATAAAGCCGTCGTCCTGAGACAGATAAGCGAAATGGTTCTGACCTGTGGTGTTGCTTGTTGATCTGTATGGTATGAATGAGTAAGGTTTACCCAGCCCTTAATATCTTCCAGCAATATCACAACTCGTGACACCAAGAGGGGCTTGAACCATTGTACATTGATGGGTGAATGCCTTACTGCCAAGCCAGCCCGCCACCCAGCACAATCAGCAATAAGTGGTCAATCCAGATGAGCTCACAGCACTGTCCTCCACCCCCCTACAGTACCGTATATGACCGCGTATAAGCCGAATTTTGAGGACCAGAAAAAAGATTCTGCAGAAAGGGGTCGGCTTA